AGATGGCCAGTTTGAGGCCAGCCTCAGTAACTTAAGGCCCTAAGGAACTTAACAAGACCTTGTCTCCAATAAAAAATAAACAGGGCTGGGGATGTGGCTCAGTGGTTAAGAAACCCTGGGTTTAATCCTCAATACCTTATTTAAAAAAAAAAAAAAAAAACTATAAGGAGGTAAAAATGTGAGGGGAAAAAATGGAAATTCTAGAGTTGTTATTAACCAGAATAAAACATTCATTAGTGGAATGCAACACTAGTTTGAACTGATAGAAGAAAAATCGGCAAACTTGAAGGTAGAGATTATGCCATCTGAAGAGTAGAGATGAAAAAAAGAGAAATGAACAAAGCCTCAGAAATGTGTAGCATTGTTAAACACACCAACATACGAGTAAGTGGAGTACCAAAAGAAGAAAGGGGCTGGGGTCGGGGAGAGAGGAAGGAGCAGAAGAAAATTTAAGAAATAACCATTCCCAAGTTTGACGAAATACACATACACAAAGCACACAAGAAACTTAATGAATACCAAACAAGATAAATTCAGAGATCCACGGCCAGACATGTAATAAAAATGTTTAAAAAAACATTTTTTTTGAAAGCAGTAGGAGAAGAGTGATGTTGTATACCTGAGAACCACAACAAGATTAATGTTGTGGCTTATTAGGAAAAAAAAAAAAAATTAGACCAGAAAGCAGTCAAATGACAGAGTGCTAAAGGAAAAACTTTTTGTCAAATTTATCTGTAGCAAAACTCTCAAAAATGAAAGTAAACCAGATGCACSGATATACTCCTGTAATCCCAGCCACTTGGGAGACTGAAGCAGGAGGATCATAAATTCAAAGTCAGTCTCTGCAATTCAGCAAGACTTATCTCAAAATTAAAAAGGAGGGGCTGAGGTTCAGTGGTAGAGCACTTACCTAGCCCATGTGAGGCACTCGGTTCAATCCTCAGAAGCACATAAAAAGTAAAAAAATATATATATATAATTTTTTTTTACTAAAAACATTTTTAAAAAATGAAAAAGAGAATGTAACTCAGTAGTAAACCTGGGTTCCATCCCCAGCTCTTTACAGAGGATAAAAGAAAAGGGGTGTGGGGCGGGGGGGAGATTCTGGGGAAATGGCAGGCTCATAGGAAATACCAGGAAAATATCACCACACAGACAAAAATAGTTGTCATCATCTATGTGTTGAAACTGTTTTGGAACTCTAGTCTTTTGAATGCTTGAAACCAAGAGAAGGCTTGAATGGCACATTACAGGGTCAACTTCAGTTGAATTCAACTCTTAGCTCAGTGGCAACTTACAATTTTTCACACCCCCTCCCCCAGCCCTATGGCAGAAAGTGCAAAAGCTACAGGAGCAGTTTGTAAATGACTTATGAAAATCAGGTCAAATAAGAACCCTGCCCTCCAAGTACCAGGCTTCTGTGTCTAATTATTACTGTTGCTTCTAATCACGGAGGTGCAAGTGCACTGGGGCAGCCATTGTTGCTGTTAGCACTCAGCTTTTTATTCAGGAATGGAGTTTCATGCAGAAATAGGATGACACCTCTGATGGATCCACTTTCCTAGTGGAAAAAAAGCCACTGGCCAAAGGAAGAGTCTGGGCTTATGCTGGTTATACTGAGAGATGACTTGCGTGTGTGGGAATCCACCCATGAAAAGAGAGAGGACTTTTTCAGCATTGAAGCCCATGAGGGGGTAGAATCCGTTATTTGGGAATTTATAGTGGCACTCCCACTATTAAAACTGCCTGATACAAGTGAACTTCCTCTCAGCTCTGCCCAAAAAGATCTTCTGAAGCACTGGAGATGGGCGTGACCCATTAGAAACCGATGGCCTACCTGCCCCCACCTGTATCCTGTTTAGGTGAAGAACTTTCATTTAATCTATTCTGATATAAATCAAGCAAGCTTGCGGTCTCCCTTCTTGGTCAGTACCCATCTGGTCAGGTTGGCCGGTCGCTGYCCCCGTTCTGAAACTATATTTCTGTGTCCTATTTCTGTAGTACTTTTTTTCGTASCTTTTATTTCTCAGCTAGCCCATCCTTCCAGAGAACCCTCTCCCTTGCCCATGCAGGATGTGAGCGAGAAGCTTGTCCGTTTGGGCGCTCAGTAATTTGGGTTCTGTTTTATTAATTAATGAATGTGTCAGTTTGACCACTCAGAAATTTGGGTTTTTTGTTTTTACTGGGCAGTGGAGGAGGAGGAGTTGGGGTCAGCAGTCAGTATCTGGGACCTGTTTTATAGTGTTGGGGGTCTGCCGCCAGCAACTGGAAATAATTTGTTCTGGGAGAGATCAATGCTTAAATCTCTTCTCAGAGGTATGATGGACTCCTTCTCCCCAGGGCTTTTTTTGTCACCGGGAAGGAATGGAGTTTCACGCAGGAAAGGATCAATACTATCAATGTGTGGCTTTCTTTTTCACTTCCTTTTCCCAGTCTGCACTATTTGGGGGTTTTTCATTTTCCTTATCTGACAGTTGCACCCCGCCCACACACAGATGCAAACCCCTCCCCTATAGAAGTGAGGTCCAGAAATTAAAGATTTGGCACCTCCCCGCTCCCACTTTTTTTTTTAACCCCTCTTGGGAGCCAGGCATTAAAGTTAGGACATTCAAAAACAACTTCACATATGGGGAAATTATAAAGTCAATGTGCATACCCAGGGGAAAGTGCAGTTTACACCTCAGGCAGATTCCAGGCACAGAGACAATTCATAACAAAACAAGGGCTGGGGATGTGGCTCAAGCGGTAGCTCGCTGGCCTGCCATGCATGCATCCCGGGTTTGATCCTCAGCACCACATACAAAGATGTTGTGTCCGACAAAAACATATATATATATATTATATAAACAAGACAAAAGCCAGCTGTCACGGTGGCCCATGCTGTAATCCCAGCGACTTGGAAGGCTGAGGCAGGAGGATCTCAAGTTCAAAGCTAGACTTAGCAACTCATTGAGATTCTGTCCCTAATTAAAATACAAACAAGGGCTGAGGATATGGCTCGGTATTTAAGTACTCCTGGGTTCAATCCCTGGTACAAAAAACAAAACTAGTAAAGCCTAGGGTGGTGGGAAATGGAAGCCAAAGCATTGATTCTTCCCCAAATAATTCCTTTCTCAGTGACAGTATAATGGAAAGAGATCATCATTGAACGCTGACCCCCAAACCCTCCATTCTTCTCCAAGTAAAAATATTGCCCAGTAAWAAATAAATAAATAAATAAATTCAAATTCTCACAAGCCTGTTTCCCTGAGTGCCCAAACTGACATGAGTTTTATGTCAATAAAACTCAGGGGCAGAGCACTCCCTAGCATGGTGAGGTACTGGGTTTGATCCTTAACACTGATAC